TGCGGGGAGGACTTCCCGAAGCACGAAGCTGAAATTGCAGAATCAGAGAAGACCCCAGCCCGGCGTTATCTGAAGACGCCCCGCGATTGAACACACAGTGGCCACCTTTCAAGGAGACCTTAGCAGACAATCATGGTCCAGTATGCAGTATGCAACAACTGCAGCACCGACTGCAAGTTCACATCGACCGAGCTAGTGCCAAGGTTTCCCCAACAGATAGCTGCAAAAGGTGCAGATGGGGACAAAAGATACAGAAAAATGCGCCCATATCCACCGCTGATCTCCAAAGAATGCAACTGCAGGCAGGCGCTAGCAATAGGCAGTGAGCGTTGTCCTGGAAGTCAGCCTCCATTCCCCTAAATGCAGAATTGGGACCGGCCGGGCACGGCAGCAGGGCCCTCCGCGAATCTTGTTGCATGTGCTGAGGTTCGTGGAGGCTGGCTCCCCGACTCCAGGGAAAAAGAAGAAGAAAAGCAGACCCAAGTGGAAAGAGGCCCGGCGCCAACCATTCATGTTGCATGAGCTGCAAAGGGAAGAGAAAGTGGCAGGACTTTCCGTAGACATGACTTCCCAAGCAGCTAGTCGCTTATGCTTTGAGGAATCTACACGGTCTTCCAGTGTCTTGGAATTGAGGTCTGGAGGTTACGCTTGGATGTTTAATGAGTCTGTGCTGTACACTTTTCCAAATTTTGCAAACCTCCACTGAGGGCTCATGTTCGATTCCAAAGGTTTCAAGAGACTGGTGGTCTGCAAGAGCCAAAGCATTCCGCCAAGTCTCTACCAAAGGCCTAGCAGCGAATTTCGACAGACCCGAGCTTGAACGGGGCACTTTTGGGCATTGGCATTGGGGACACTAACACCGTAACCTGGAAGACGTGCGCAGGACTGGAGCCTCATCGGCTCGGACAGCCGCCGGCCAGCGCCCTTGCGGAGGTTGGCAGCGGGGAGGGTCGGTTCCTCTCCGCCTTGTCCCCACTGCCTGACTTGGATTCCTGAGTCTAGCTGAGTAAGTGGGATTGGGCAGCTTTTCTGGGTTGCTTCTGCCTGTGAAGGTACTTCGACTCCGTCCCAGCCGAGATTCGACCGCCGGTTGAGGACCCGGGGTGGATGTGTACAGCTCCGGGGCCTGGGGTTAGTCGGCAGACAGTTGGACTATGCTCAGCTTCAACTTCAATGCGTCTCTGTCCGCTTTCTGTATCTCCAACTTGCTTCAGCCCGTTCGACCTGACATGCGGCGAGTGGAGCCGAATGCCAGTAACCCAGCTTGCGGCATGAAAGCTTGCTGATGCGACTGCAGGCACTGTCAGGCCGTAAGGGTCTACGTGCAAGGAGTGGCAGGAGATTGCAATTCCTGCGACGGAGAGGGCTGTGCAGTGAGGCATTTAGGCATGAACGACTTCGAAGCAGTGGCGGCCGTATGGGTCACCAGGGAAACGGCAGGCTTCAGAAGCGACCTAATTAAATGAGAAGACGAGTAGAGGCCCGGCTCCAACAAGCTCTACTGCACGTCGTAAGCTCCGATAACCTCAACATTGTGCTCAGCCCCGCTTCGTGGAAGACGACCGCTTCGAAGCACTGGAAGCGCTCTCAGGATTGAGGGTTGGGGGTTTCTTGAGTTTTGAAAGAGCGCGGGTTCCGTGGCGGAGCTCTGAATTGCAGTTTTGTAGTGTGGGCCTGCGGTTTGGGCGGAGCATGGCGGAGCTCTCACTGGCACACTCCTCCTCGATGGAGATGAACGGATAATTACTTAAAGGAGAAATCGCAGAACACGCCTACTGGCTCCTGCAGTCATCGGTGTATCTCAGTGTCCAACTACCATTGCTGATGTCATGAGTGGCAAGCGACGTGTACACAAGGAAACATTGAATGGTACTCGTAAGGGATTTGCACGCCATAGCCCTCAGTCGTTGCTTTACATTCCGCAGGCCACGTCGTAGGGCTGCTACGTCGAATCCGGCCCCCTTGCCCAGTTGTACGGCACTGGCTGGCTGGACTGCTGGGGCCAGATTGGCTCGACGGACAACGACGCGCTGCATCCGCACCTGAGGCAGGTTTGTCTTCCACTTACGACTCGGACCTAGCGACCTGCTATAGCTGCTTATTTGTCTCCACATCTCTTGGCGCTGTCAGCCGTTCAATTCACCATCCTTGACGACACCTCAGCCTTCTGACTTCCTGGATGCACCAATCACTGCTTCCGATCAGGCATATGTTCGACAAGCGCGGCATTGAAGTGCGCAGCCGAGTCGACCAGACAGCGATGGTGGAGACGCGCCTGATATACAATTACACTGCTACAGTACCAGTATCGCAGCAGAGAACACACGCTCAATAGACCGACAGTGTTGCAAGCTTTGCGATGCTGCGCTGTGCTCAGCTCATGGCACATGTCACGACTTTGCCGGGCCGGTCCACCGAGTCCTCGTATCGACAGCGTCCAACAGCGGATCACCCGTGGTTGCAGACGCTCCCGCCACGGACGCCACAGCGGCCCTCGCCCAGGTGACAAAAGACAAGAAGAGAGCGGGATGACAGAGTACAGAGACAAAGGGAGCTGAAGAATTCCTCACCGAACACAGCGTACTTGCGGGGTAAGAGAACAGCTTTCATGTCGACATCACAAGAGGTATCACTCTATGTAGTACTCCTGCTTGTGTAACTCCGGCATGCTCGACATTGGCACTGAGTTCATCGCTGCAAAGGGGATGAGGTTAGTTGAATGGGATGACCTAAGAAGAGGATGATGCCGGACAGGACGCTGAAGCAGCGCATCATCTGCCGGGCCACTGCGCAGGACCGTTCAACCGTACCTTGAGCTGTACATGTCAAAGTCAAAGCCTACCGTTATTTCCAGAGCACTCGGTCGCAGAAGCCGCCTCCAGATCCTTCGGAGCCTGCCAAGAGCATCCCCTGGGGCGTGAGGCACCATGCTGGGCAGGGCAGTGAGTCTGCAGTCGGTCGCGGAAATCAGATCAGCGGTCGTCTAGCTGCATGATCTGTCGCGAAAGGTGCCTGCGGTATGGTGCTGATTTCCAGGCTCGGAACCGAAGCCGGTCGGTTTCGCTCCCACTTCTCTGAGAGCCTGAGTGGCAGGTGCGGCAGCGATTACTAGTCGTAGTTGCAACCACGAGAGGTGGTCGTACATACGCGCAGCATATCTGCATAAACACGTACTCTCGCAAGTGTTGGAGGCCAGGTATTTCAGCTCGCATTCCGAAACCGCCGTGTCCCAAGACATCCTTTGTCCCTATATTGTACACTCCGGCACCAGGCCCATCAAAGCATGCCTAGAGACGAGAAGATTCCCTGGGTCTACGACCACAATCGCAGGCTCGCTTCAGGGCCTCGGGCATCAGGCTAAATTTGATCAGTGCAACTCAGCCAAGTGAAGCCACACTGGACAGTCTGATTGCGCCAGCACCCTTTGACTTCCAGCGGATGCGAAGCAAGCCCACTGTTGGTGTGCGTTGCTTTCTCGCCTGCTGCCCAGTGAATCAGAAGACAACACGGTGATGAACCCGATCTTGAGGTGGCCTTCTCGGAGAATTGTTGTGGAGCTCGTGCTAAGAGTAGCTACGTCCGGGATGCATCCTTTGCCCGACCCAAGGCATTACTTTGATCAGGACGGCATCGAATCCTCCTTCAGGCCTGGGCGGTTTCCTGTCGGCTCTACTCACAACATCAGTACACCGCTCCAATGTGCAGGAACCGCGGGCGCCAATTTGGTCGGCCGGTGAAATCCGTCTTTGGCCGCGAGTTGCCGGGGTCTTGGATCTTGGAGCCGGGCGCTTGCAATGTGAGAGAGCTCCTCTTCAGCTCCGGTCTCTTTCCGAGTTCGAAGCCGAAGTTCGTCTCCTTGGCCTCCTTGAGCACGGCTGCCAGCAGTACTTCGCTGCAGGCCAGTCTCACAGCACAGCCTGAATCCTTGGACTTCATTGAATTGGTTTACCACAAGGATTCGCTTGGCTTTCGCGGGCCCTGCTGCGAGGCATCTCAGAGCCAGCCTTCACTGCGAAGTCCACAGGCCACTGGGGCTCGATTGAAGCTAAGGCTCTGTAGCTTTGTGCAGGGCTGGAGTTCTCGGCATTCCCATTTCGTGGTTGTGGATCGTGTGGGAAGGTAGGAAGAGCCGGTAGTGGGAGTCAAGGTCAAGGCTTCAGGCTTGCCTGCATGTGTACCTGCCAGCATTAGCACTGCTGCAGCGCAGTAGCAGCGACTTGCAACGGACGGCGGCAGTCCAGGAGGATGCGGCTTCAGCTCTCACGCTTTTTGGCACTCGACACGATGTGCATGCCTGAAGGTCTCACGGCCTGGCGCTGCGAGGATTCACGACAAGCGTTGAGGGCGAAGTGTCACAGAGCATGGGCCAGGAAGGATGTCATGATGTTGCCTCACACATCAGGGCTGTCAAGAAGTCTATTCGACGACACTTCTCCCTGCTCTGAAGCCATTGGAAGTCCATGATGGATGTCTCGCTCTTCGGGCCAGAGTTCACGCTTCTGAGCCTGCAGAAGGGAGGTATCCTCTGAAGAAGTGTCCGTGCACGAGGTGCCCGAACGCAGCAAGAGTGGTCACTGGCCCAGAACTGTTTATGACGTTGCTATGCGTGCCCTTGGGGTTCGTGCTGTTTCTCTGGCATGGCAAAGCCATCCAGGTGCAGCTGGGGCAAGTTAATCAAATCATATCACTACAGAGCGAAGCAGGCGTCTAAGACGGCGAAAAGGAAACAGTGACCGTAGTGCTGACACTGGTCTGCCTTGTGTGCTGAGGAGTCGAAATCCCGCTTGTCCATGTTACAATTTGCGTCAAGGAGGCATCGATCAGGGGCGCCAGCAGAACCAACAAGAACGCGTGCCAACCAGACACTACTCATTGCCGAACCCAACACTTGGCATCAGCATCCCTAAAGTCAGTGGTAGACGCACCCAGCTTGCACAGAAGACGCTAATGTCGAGCAATTAGCGTGCAGAGACACCCATGTGGATTGGCCTGATCCGCTCATGGCCTCATCCACTGAAGAGCGAGAAGATGCTTCTTCGTCTGCGCCGTCCCTGCACCCGGAGCTGCGCACCTCGGTTGGATGGTCGAGTGCTGCACATCATTTAAGTAATAAGCGATCAAAAGCAGGCCCGGGACACCCCAGATGTGAGTCAGGGAAGTAGACTGAATCGTTGGGTGCGGCGTCCCGACCTACCCGCATGTGTCAGGCACTCTGCAGGAATCGGCATTATATAGGAAGCTGTGAGAAAGGCATGTAATGTATTGGCACAGAGCAGGAATTTCTATCATATGGATGAACCCGGCGAGAAATCGAGGTGCATAACCCTTTTGTCTTCTGCATAATCCCTCCGGTCGTAGCTCGTTGGCAGCCAAGGCGCATGTCATGAGTGGAGTTCGGATGCCCTACTGATAGTCTTGGTAAGGTTTAAGCTTGAGTTTCAAGGTAGTCTTGACACAGCCCGCATGCCTTTCTGTGAAGCAATGGAGACTTGCAGTCCTGAGCGATGCAAGGTGCTCGATTGCACGCTTTGGCGAAGACTCTCGGTTCAGCATTCAGCAGAGGTTGTGGCGTGATGTCAGGGGATAGCAGCTCCCAATCTTCGATCATTGGAGACTCGGTTCTCAGGGACGAGCCTCCCGTGGCGGAGGTCACTAAAGACAGCAAAAGCTCAGTCAAAAAGGCGGGGATTTCGTCCACTCGTTCGGAAGTTGTCTTCAGTGATGGACAAATGACAGAGCCTTCCTGCAAAGCTTGGAGGCCAAGGGCGGTCTCGACTCAGACGTGGACAGCTTGCTTCAGCAGCTGGAGGCGAGCAATATCGGAGAGCACCCCAAAAGTCTCGTAAGGTGCAGGGGCTTCCAAAGATCTGCATGATTCTGCTAGCTGCTAGCTACTGTCACCTAAAGTTTTGGGCCATTCCAAGCTTCACGTGACTCAGGCACTGGACTCCCGCAGCCAGGCACTGCAGCGGGAGGATCGGAAGGACCACGCAAGGCCAGGTGTCCTCATCGCTTTGGCCGGAAGCATTCCGGATTCCGGCCTGGCAAGGTGGCGCAAGGACGATCAGGCAGATTCCAAGGGCAAGACCGAAGCGGCAGCGAAGGGCAAGGACGCCTTCATGCAAAGGATTTGCATCCATCGATTGTCCGTGGATGTTTCAGGAGACGCCCGTTGCCGCGGCCGCATTGCGACATCCCCTTCAGGCGGTCGAGCTGGTGCCAGGACTGAAGTCTGTCTTGTGCGTCTTCGGCAGCGCGAAATGAAACTAACTCTGCACGTCTCTCCACCGCAGCATCGAGCTGTAGTGGTGAAGGAGGCGACCGGGACATCCGACTGCGGCCGAAGAAGCGATCCGACCCGAGGAGCTGCAAAAAGGGTGTGCGCAGGTCCAGCAGACTTGGCACCTAAGCGAAAGTGCTGTAAAGCAGTAAACCACTGGTATTGCGGACGTTGCAAACCGTTCTGGCTTTTTGTATCTGGCTTTTTGTATACATGTCTGCCGTGTCTTCCAACGACTAGCAAAAATATCATAACTGGATAAGACATCGCATGCAGGACCTTCTGTTGTGCCGGGCCGGTCGTCCTGTACACGGGTATGCCTGAAAACACACATCGCATCGTTGCCAAAAATAGCCTGTAGCCCAGTGGGCTACCTCGACCCAGGAGACAGGCTCCTGGAAACCCCTGAGCCCTACGTAACTTTTTCTCAGTAAGTCTAAACACCGCAGAGTCTCCAGAAGCGATGCAGGACGGCCCCGTTCCCCTCGGGCAGCGTCGTGTCGCTACCACCGTTGAAGGTGGGAGTTCTTCTGGCGCTGCTTGTATGCCGATGATTCTGGCAAAGAGAGTTAGACCTGCATTCCATGGATTTCGTCCTCGACCCAATCCTTACCCTGTAGCATGTCTTGCAAGCGGTTCGTGCCAGCCGATCTACTCGCCCCTATAACTAGAAAGATAAGTGCACCGAAGGACTGCTTGAACCACTGTCTCCACAGAGCTTGTTGTGCCACTAGTCTTCCCAAGGCTTCGGTTGCCCGACACCTGTACAGCACGTCCTCTCGATTGCCCCCAAGCTGTCACCACTGGGCTATCGTGATCTGCTCATCTCGAGGGATCAGCTTCTGCCCCCTGCTTGGTCTCGGGGCCTTTTTTGCGAGAGCGCAAGGGCCTTACAAAATCGAAAGTGAGTGTTTCAGCGTGAGGGCATCGAGCACTGAAATAGATTCGATCATTGATTCCTGCCGAGGCCACCTTTCCAAAGCATGAGATGTCTTTGCAAGCGAAGCTTGAAATTTGGTGCATGTTACAATCGGCGTATGCTGCCGCCACTCGAAGAGCTGCATAGCTACCTTGATAGCCACTTGCTTTTTGCTGCTTTATGACTCCGGCTTCCATCAAACGCCGTCCCCAAACGATGCCAACCAGGGAATGGCAGGCTCTTAAACAAGACATCTGCCTCACACCGGCGTTTCACATGCAGAGCTTGCCTTGAGTTCTGTTGCACATGGCATGAATTTGACGTCAGGTTTTGTCAGGCGCACCTCGGACGAATGGCCCGCCAGGGCATACCAGAGCCCTGGTGCCAATCCGCGGAGTCGAAAACCAAAGGCCGCCAGTCCTGGGCCGAAGGAGTCCCAAGCTTTGGCATCGGAAGTGAAAGGAAGCCCGCGCTCGCGCGGCTCTGCCAGGCTCAAGCTGTTGGAAAACAACACGGTGAAGCCGTAGTGTGAGTCTCCATGCACCCATTTTATCACATCGCCAGGTACGCAGAGCATGTTGCAATGACGAAAGTGTCGGCAGACTTAGCATGTGAAGCATCAGCAACATGGACCTGCAGCATACGAAGTCTAGCAACGTGTTCTGCCTCCGGGCAGCAGCCCGCAGAGAAGCGCAAAACAAACCCCACAACAAGAGTCTTTCACTGCAAAGGAAGGCAAGCACTAGAGTACCAGTGTAGTGTGGGTTGGTGCATGGTCTCAGGCTCCTGGGACGCCAGGGAGCTCCCTTTGCTGTCCCCAGGTGTGCGCAGCCGCACCGGAGGCGAGTTCAGTTCAGAGTCAGAGTCCGAGCTCCCCGGAGTTTCTAGAACTTTTGGGGATCCCCAGCTGGGCTCTCTCCCGGCTTGGTGGATCTTGGTGGCCTTTGATACTGTCTCCTTGCTGTGGCCAGGCATGGCCGTTGCGAGTTCTGCTGCGTCCGCCAACGACGAGCAGAAACGAAGGTTTAGCAGGGTCTTCTCGAACATGATGCTACAGCCAGTGCAGCTAGAGACTATCCTTGAAGCTTGCTAGCTGCTACGCGTAGCCCTTCATACAGATGCTGTCTGCAGCATGATATCTGGCCCGTGCAGTTCAACTTCGGCAGGAGATCGTCGAGAGTGCCCGGGAACGAAGCATTGCTCCCTCTCACTCCCTCGCCGAAAGGCCACCCATGTCACACTACTGTCAAGCAGAGGCATACCGCATTCGCAATTTCCAATTGGCAGGCACGCCTGAGGAACAACATGCGGATATGTCATTGCATTTGAGGAAACAGCGCGGGGCCCGAGTGCGGCAGCCGCAGAGCCTTCGCGAGCCACGAATTGCTTGCAGTAGGCTGCGTAAGTGGCATCGCTTTGACGGCGTGTGGCCCAGGTTTGCGCAGTCACATGAGAGGAAGGATGACAGGAGGGTGAGCATAGAGGCTGGTGTGGGGGAGGATCCGAAGTCTAGAGTCTAGCTACTTTAGGTCAAATACACTAGCTCAACTCGTCTGTTTCACCTACATGGCATGCGTTCGTAGATGGGTGTTGCAAGTTCATTATCCACCATTTGCTGTGGCACTGCCTACATTAGTAACGGGGCAGTCTCGATGTAATGCTTTCTGTGCCGGCAGGGCTGGAGAAGCTTGGCATCTTCGGAGGACAGCAAGCTTCCATTGCTTGAACTGTGGCCTCAGCTGCAACTGCTTCCAGTGCGCATGTACGTGATGCTCCAGACGCGACGAACTGCTTCATCCTTCCAATAAGGGGTGCTTCACGTGACACGTGCTTCTTGCAGGAAGACGAGGTGTCACCGAGGCATGAGATCAAGCATCAAAATCGACATTGCCTCTTGCTTTCTGCTACTTCTGGCTGTCTTCGGAACGCAGATGCTCAAGCTCCAGATTCAGTCGGTGAGTCTCATCTGTTGCAATTTTTGCAGGGCCTACGAGATGGCTCTCTATGACTCGGACTCGGGGTTGCAGCACACGCCTCCGAGTGGAGCACGGCCTGCAATAAATCGACATGGTGTGAAGGATTGCGCAGATGGTGTGCTTATTGCTTGCTTTGCAAACATGCCGAAACATGAACTTCGCCCAACGTCACGGGAAAAGCACGTTCGTGGACATCTGGCAAGCACGATTGCTATCCCGTCGAAGTCGTGGCTAGGGTGGATCAACATTTCGTGTTCGAGGCTTCGGTGGTATCGTTATTGTTCAATAGTTACGGCCGGTAAGGCTGAACCACCCAACCATTTTCCTGAGCCTTGGTCTTGCTGGTAGTTACATGGAGCCTACAATACACTGAGCTACACTGCACTTCAGCACTTGGTTGACGCAAGAAGCAGTGTTTGGATCCTGGAGTCCACTACTAGTACCTCGAACCGATAGCGAGTTCTGAAGCGTGAGGGTCTGAATGTATCCCCTCAAGCCACCCCTGACATTTTAGAAGGTCTTCCAAGCAGCAGAAGGATTGACAACTCAGCGTTCCATGTCAACACTACCCAAGGATACATGTATTCCTGCAGAAGGAGCATCAGGACTCGTGCTGTTCTCCTGGTGTGATAGGAGTCTAGAAGCGGATGAAGGTTACATACCTGAAGACGGCATCCTGCCTTGTCTTGGAGGCGACATAGGGCACACATACAGGCGGATAGATACGATACATGCACGATGTCAACGTCTACACCGAGTCGACATAAACATTCAAGCCTTTTGGTTTGCTGCAAACCTGACAGCGGCTTGTCAGGTTTCGTTGTTTCAGAAATGCAGCACTTTGTCCCAGGCTCAAGGCAGTCCTCCTCAACACCTCGCACATGGATGGAGTGTTTAAAACGAGCACATGCACATGCCTACGTATATCTATTGCGCCCAAGGGCATGTATCGGCAGTCAGTTTAAAGTGCATTTGCAAGATCCGCCACGCCCGTGGAGCGCACGGTGCGGAGCCATGAAGAGCGTTGTGCCCGTCGTCGCATTGATAGCTGCGCCACAGATGCAGTACAGCCGCCTAACAGGGCACCAGTTCGGGCTCGCAATTCCTGAGCCCCCAGCAAGAAGACAAGGGCCCTGTCAGACCCAACAGCCGATGGACCCATGTTCCATAGCACAGCCCTTCTTCAAGGTGTGGAGCCCCTCCCTGGGGGCCGCCGACGCGGCCTGGATGAGATTACAGTAGCTTCTGCTGGATTGCGAATCACTGTATCACAGGTGCTGCCGCGGGTTCTGTGAGTCTGTTGGTTCCTAGCAGTCCTAGTATGCTTTTCACGGTTTCGGAGACTTGAGCGGTCAGCAGCGGGACGGCGAGCTCGTGAGGATTTCGGTGCAGCTTGGGGCTCGCCTCACTCGTTCCGCGCCGCCTGGCTGCAAAACGTCTATAATGGAAAACAACTGGTTCAACGGACCTTCAAGACTCTGCGAGGCAGAGGTGGAAGCAGCTCTTGAGCAGTTGCGGAGGATACTGGACGAGGCGAAGCAGAAGTGCTAAATTCCAGTCAGCCTTCGACTTCTTTGCGGCCTCAAAACTCTGTCCTGGCAGCTTTGCAGGAGAGGCACCCTCAGTACCCCGCAGACGTCGCGCACGTGTACGAGGACGGACGACGGATGCCGTTGAACAGTCCGCGCTCCACCCTGCTGCACAGCTATGTCCGGACTGGACCACATGCTTTCTTGAGGATCCTGTGTGTGTGTCTCAAAAGATAGTAGTTTCGATTTGATGAGCCCACTCCTCCAGTCTTCGCTTCTTGCAGTCCAAGCAGTGTCAAAGAGCTTTCTGCACAGGTCTCTAGATGTCTTCTGCTACAGCTTTTCTGAGATTTGGCACGACATGTCGGAGTCTCTTCATTTAACAAGAATCCGATTGGCAGTCTTTCACAGGCAGGTGTGTTATGAGGAGGCGGGGATTCAGGAGCAGCGAGCCCACAACACAGCCCAACAATTTGTGAGGTTTGTTTAAATTCCCAGGTGTTGAGATTTCTGGACCCAACTTCGAGACTCGAGACTTTCATCCCTCACCCTTGTAATTGTAGCAGTCCAGCACAGCAATTTTGTCATTCCACTGTGGAGACTTTAAGGATACGGCTGGTACCTATCTGTCAACAGCAGCCAAAACCTACAAATGCCACTACTACTATTGCTTCTACTCTGCCGCGGATATGCTGCTGCTTCCGCCGTGCCACTGCTGCCGCTACTGCTGCTGTGCTTCGCTGGTGCCGCGTGACCACCTGCAACCTCAAGCTCTCGTCCAGTAAGGACTTTTTCTTGAGGTTAGATCTCAAATTGGAGGTTCGAAGTTGCAGAATCAAGTCTGGCATTCTGCCGCAACAGCAAGTCCTGTGCAAGCTACCTCCGTTTCATAGCAAGCCATGTACATGCCGGGTGCCTCCCCAATCCAATCCTTCCCGAGTCTGATGCAGGACAAGTACTTGCCGGGGGCCTAGTTGTGAAAGGTACGAGTTCGGAAGGCTTTGCGGAGTCTGCATCTCCAGTCCTCGAGCTTCCTGCATGAGCTCGTCGCTTCCGAGTTCAGTTTTTGCTCGTCGAACATCAAGAAGCCCTGAAGTGCCCAATCCTTCAAGCCTTATGACTCATACACGTAAAGCCGAGAAAGTTTCGACGTTCTCGAGGCTGTCCGAGTTGGCCACAAAGGCCGCCTCTGCCGGGCTGGTGCCTGGGTCCGGAGAGCCTGAGATGGAGGTCCAAGGCCCGAGGCGCCGAGGCTCCCAAGGTTTGGGACCACCTGCGCATTCCACGGGCGGTTTTGCTGCCAGCTTTTGGCCAAGAGCAAGCTCAAGACATGTAAATCATAGGGCCTCTAAGCTAGATGGAGATCCCCTTGTTCCTACTCTGGCTGCTATGAGTTTGTCTCTATTCAGCTTCACAGGGCTGCAATTTTGAGCAAGGTCCAACTCTTCAGAACTCTCCTCGACAACACCTGGCCGGGCTTCTCCGGCCAGACGCTTCCGGAGTGGGCCACAGGAGTGCTATGCACCTCAAGTGACAAGACTATCCTGGCAACTCTATTTGGCCCGTCGCTTCGAGCAGCAGCGACCTGCTGCATCGATTCCTAGGCCATGTTCGACTTCTCCTCTGCCCCTCCCCCCTGTACAGCTCGCATCGCGAAGCAGGAGCGCCGCTGCTTGTCTTCTCCTCCTGTCAATTCTGCGAGCTCAAAGAGACGGTGGACAAAGAGATTCAGGCCTTCATTAGTGGATAGGGTTCACTCCGCAATAGGCCACCTCCCTATGGATGAAATATGAAATAACGAACGACTCGCGGTTTCAAAATGGTTTCCGAGGGGTTCGAGGAATTGCCTCAACAAAAATCTTGGCAAGGGTGCATCAAGCACATTCCGCGAGTTCAGGACAAAACATGGGGTGCTTTTTACGGCTTAAAGTGTACAGGGTACCAGAATCTACTACAATATACTATACTACACAAGTATGCGATAATATACTATGACATACGATGATCTATGATCTGGTTCAGGCTTTTCCCCTCACGACGTCACCACGCCAGGTCGGTTCGGCGAAAATCGAGGAGAAGGAAGGGATCCTGGGCTCTTGGAAGTCGAAAGTGAAGACCAAGGCCGAGGCAGGAGATGGGGTCCAAGGAGCAGACTTGATGCTGTTTGAACATGCTATACGGCTCTACTGTTATGCTTTTGTATAAGGTTATGTATGGTTATGTCATACTAAGGGTTCCTTTAAGGGATCTATAAGGGGTCTATAGGGTTTAGGGTACCCAGAGACTACAATATCCCTTAATAAAGGAATATACCTTAAGTCATATTAGGGGTCCTACTATAATTTAAAGTATATTCCTTAATTAAGGGAGAATGGAGAGAGAGAGAGAGAGAGAGAGAGAGAGAGAGAGAGGGAGTATCAGAATCTATACTCCATGGATCAACATCAGGCAAGACGTGAATTCACACATCTCTACGACCTCCACTCATGTTTTCAGGCGCGGTATGATGTTGCTGTCCTCACCAGCAGCGCCGGCCGTTGTCTGCATTTCCCAAAGCCAAGCACCTGAGACCTGCTTCTGCCGAACCTCCCCTGCAGGTGCAGGAGCACTTCTGGAACTGGACAGCGACGTGGCGCCTTTATATGACGACCGCGGGGTCCGATCAGAGCTCCTTGGCCTGGCCACTTGCACCGCCTGCTTCCGCGCCAGCTTGTAGAAACCCGGAGATGGCAGTTTTCTGAGGTTTTCCTCTGCTGAGTGGCTCCGGAGGACTGACTCGTTTCTGGGCACAGTCCTTGACGATCTCTCACCGACTTGGCCGAATGCACAAGTCATGACCGAGCGGATGAAGCTGTGGCTGTGGTCTTGTGAGGAACCACACTGAAGACCATGACGCTTCCTGGCTTGTATGTTGCCATGGGTCGCGATTGCTCTGCGACTTTCGGTGTTACTGCAGGGAAGGAGTGGCTCGAAAGGGCCGGTGCCAGCGTCTAAGACTCTTGCAACCCTCCCCTGCAACACTCCCCGGTTTCCGGCTTATTCTGATGTTGTTCCGGGGCTATCCCGGAAAGAACGATTCTTGCAGACACTTGCATGGTCGATCTTTTGGAGCACTCTGCGCACGTAGACTCTAACGACATGGCCGCCACATGCTCTGGTTTGATATTCTGTTCAACCTTTGAGGTGTCGATCGGGACCGGCTTCGGCTTGTTGTCAGAGAGAGAGACAGAGCGGGAGCGTGGGCTGCATGTTTTCGTTCCAAACATTCGATGACTGCTCTTGTATAGCGGGTTTTGGCCTAGCCGGGAAAGCCCGATATAGTCACAACGCAGCCCGATATAGCAACGGAATAGCGCGGATTGCGGGGGGGGTTGCGGTATCCCCAACTAGGGCTGGGTTTGGGGGTTTGGTGGCGGGTGGGGTGGTTTAGGGGTTTTGGTGTGCAGCGAGAGGGGTGTGGGGAGGGGTGTCTCTGTGGTGGGGTGGGGGTGGTTTGGGGCGCAGAACTTTCGGGCTGCAAACGAGGTCCTTGTCACGCTGTGAGGAAGGCATGCATTCAGAAAGGGGTTAATGCCGCAAACCACCTGCCCTGTCTGCGGCACGACAGTCTCCGGGTTCCAGGCAGTGCTCGCAAGGGAAACAGTACTCTTCTAACGCCATTGTCAGCCTGAGCCGGCTCTGAGCCGACAGGCCTGTAATTATCCTGCCCCTTGATAAGGCTATATAGTCCCATCATTACCCTGGATAGTCCCGAGATAGTGATCATATACTGTTGATAAAGGTGTTTTGGATGGGGAGGGCTGCCGGGGAGGGTTGTAAGACTCTTAGACAGCGAGAGTTGCACTGAAACATAAGCCTCCGAAACTCATTGTTCCTTCGGTAATTGGTGTTGAGTTGTGTCCATGAGGCACTTTCGAGGTTACACTGTTTCCTTCGAGCAGGGGTGTACGGAGGGGACCATAGGGGACCCACATGTTTCAGCACTGACTTTATCAGACCTGGCGAACTTCGGACACGAGTTCGGCGCTGCTTGCGACCGTGGCATTGCACCCTTGTCGGCACCGGCACGGAATGGAGCATTCAAGGAACAAAGAATCGCCATCCTCGTCTTGATGTCGGTTACCCTTTTCCAAGGTGTCGGTAGCTGTTTTGCTGCGGAAGGCAGGCAGAAATCACAACTGAGGACACCTCCTGCGAAGCCACAGCAGCCACGCCCTACAGCGGAGTGTGCACCGACGACACATGGCAGCTCTGATCTAGACTGTGACAGATCAGATCTGTTTTACAGTTCCGAATCGGATGGGGGATCACAGTCAGTGAAGCCACTTTTCCGCGAGGCTCGAGCTCGACATGACTTGGTTGGCCCGCAGGCGCTCAAAGTTCGGGCCTCCTCCCATGTTCTCTTTTTGTTGCGCATGTCTTCGGATGTGGAGATGTCCTGCGAGCTCCAGAGAGACATGTTCCATTTGTGCTTCCCGTTCTCACTGCAATGGGGAGTTGCGGGACTGCCTGGTTGCATACAGGCTACGAGCTGGGGCGGTCGACTTCACCGTGAATCGCACTGCACCTGACTGTCGCACTCCAGCACGGAACAAGGACACGCAGGCAAGGCTCCTGTGATGATTTTGATTGTTGTTGTCGGTGATGTTGATGACGCAGATGACCATGTCGTCACACCATTGGGCCAGAACCCAACGGCGCGGCGGATAGTTCTCAGCCCTGCTTGAACCAAAGGTGTCTTACAGTCATGCTGCAAGGACGGAGGAACAGACTCGTGCATTCACTGTTCACACCTCGATCGACAGGCAGCCTTGAGCTTCTTCAACAAAGTGCACGTCCTGGGAGATTCAGCTGCGAACATCTTGATGGGCCAGCTAGGCTCCGGCTGCATCTGGCTTGTTGCCCTTGCGCTCCTTCCATCTGCTCAAGTGAAACACGGGTGATCACTAGAGTTTGCACAAAACGAAGGCTCCACAGAACTAGGACTGAAGAGGCGTAGCCATGACATATTACCTTGCGCACACAGCCTTGCATGCCCTGTGTGAGGCACTCTTCTGGGTGGGGATAAGCCGGGCGCGGCCAAGCCAGGCTGGGCGCCGCCCAAGTCTCTGCAACTGGCGAGAGGGATTTTTGTGAGGACTCTTCATAGGACTTCAAACTTTGCCCAAATTACCGAAGCCTCGAAATCAACAGAAGTAACCCATCCAGAGAGGCCAGGACATGAAAACACAGCTTGAGACTGAAATGTGACCCCGTCGGTCAGAGACAAGCTGGGTCATTAGGATGTCTCCCCGGCCCAGCCTCTTGCAGAAGGCGAGGTGTTCCATCCCGTGTTGTTCCAGCCCGTGTTTGCCATGTTCGCGCTGGACGGCTCCACTAACGCCTCTTGCATGAAGAAGTACCCCCTCATTGATCATGAGTCCGATTTGAAAATGAAGGTGCGCTGGGGGATTCCAAGTTGAATAGGAGATTCCAGCTCTTGAAACGCCTATGGGTGCAATGATTCCTCAAACATGTCGAGCCCGTTTTGCGAGGCCTCGCGACTCGTGTTGGCAGCAGCTTGGCATGTGTTTTGTAAGCAGTTCGGCCGCCTTCTCTGGGCCCAGTCTCGGATCCGCTCTGTTTCGAAGCCTGCTTCTCTGCGAGGAAGACATGGACGTCGTCCTGAGCGCCCACCGACGTAGCCTGCAGGCTCATCGTGAGAGCCAGGAAGAGCACTTGAGGAGGACAGGGTGCCTTGCAGCTACACGTTGGAATATTTTGAGCTTTCGTATGCCTGCTTTTGGGAGGGGCGCGACAAACAGGCTGTCCAGTCGTCTGCATTCACGGTGTAGACAAAATGCCCCTACAAGCTCAGATATCCTCAGTTGGGGTCGCCGAAGTGACAGTGAGTACTTACGTGAGTACCACAGTATGCGCTGACATTCCACCAACTACTGGATCCACAGTGCCAGCTCTTGGCAGGATCTCATCTGGCAGTGGCAACAGCGTGGACCGCTCTTTGATTAGCCTTCTCATCGTTGTACAGGATGCCTGGGTGCAAGACAGCTCAGTAACCGATCGAATTCCTAAGCTGCAAAGAGAACCTGCGATCAACCTGAGATGCAGTTCAGGAGATGGCAAGTCTGGCTCGACAAATCACGTCCGCTGTCAGAGAGCTGGAGCGCAACCTCTTCCCGCAAGAAGACGTTGCAAGGATCAGGAGGTATAATCGGGCTATGGCTGGGAGCTGGACTTGGGAAGACTGTAGACCAGAATGCGCAGCGATTTCTCAAGTCCGGGGGCACACAGGACTCATCAGAACACTGTAGTCGCACCGAGGATTTGTTCCAAAACGATGTATGGCAGTGGAGAATGTGCGTAATGCTCTCTCGTCGAGGCATGCTGCAGGAGCAGCTCACTGCTGCCATAGGCAAAACGCTGCAACCCGCAGACTTCGGCACCTTGGTTCTGTTCAAAACCGTGGCGTGCAGCAGGCAACCTCGCAATGTAGGGCGGAATTGGGGTAGCATCGTAGCCCGGCAGTTGCTAGGCCCGCCGTAGAATTGAGTTCTTCTTCTCAGAGACTCCTTGGCCTGTCTTCAGGCGAGTACATGGAATTCCACTCGGGCGAGCTCCTGCGCTCCTGTCTCAGTTCAAGTCCGAAGTGCGGGCAAGTGCGATCCGAGAATCCAGGAAGTCGTAGAGACCCGAGACCCGATCTGTGCAATTTTTTCCCCGGCTAACTGAAGCCGACACAACCAACACTGAAGCCGCCCGGGGAGGTCCAGCATACAAGCCGAATCCTTTCGTGTTTGCTGTGCGACGGGCACAGCATCATCCGGCCCGGACCTCTGTTGAAAGCCAGAGGAAGCAATATTCTCTCCCTGAAATGTCTCTCCCTGAAACGGATCCAAACCTGGGTCCCAAGTCTGAGGAGGGAACCGTGAGCATCGAGGCATATCATCAGAAGTCTCGTCAGGCCGGTGGCTTGTCTACAGCCGGAGTGCACGGTTTAAACGTCTCAGTGTCTAAGTCTATAGCCACAGCAGATCGCAGCAGTAGGAGCAGGTGGAGAGGAAGATGGGTAAGCAGTGCAAGGGGATGCAAGGGGCTTTTGTTTTCCTATGCTGACCCCACATGGCGCTTCTTCTTAAGGTTAGGGTTGAGGGGTGATGTTGAGGACCAGGAACGGTTGAGCAGCCTGGAAGCACCGCCGTTGCGCACGATGCAGGCTATCTCCACCTTCAGCTTGCACCGTGAAGCTGCCCCATTCATGCGACACCTAGCCTACTTTAGCCAAATCTCGAGCCCGCATGTCTCGGCAGCACCAGGGTGCTTCTGCGATTAATCTGAGTCCTTGTTTCCGACCCCGAGGAATGCAATTGAGTTCCGCGGCGACGATTTCGTTCACAGGCAAAGCGCTGTGTGCCACCAATCGCTCGAGACAGCATCTGTCTTCATGTGCGAGGCTTGCAAAGCTCATGATAGGCTTAATCCGCTTTGGGAACATGAGGAGCTTCTGCAGTTTCGGCCGTGGCAGGTGAGCACTTTGTGCATGCTGCCGTCCTCCACCAGTTTGCCAGGCAGAAGGAGAAGGACCTTGTTCGGAAACATGTTTCTACAGTTGCAGTTGTCGGTGTCTTCTGGTGATGTGCTCACATTATGTACAGGAACTGAGACTGGTTGCACGGGCACGCCAGCTGAGCTGCTTTGTTTTGGTGGTTGGGAAGATCATCTCCTCGGATGCTTGGCGGCATTACGTTGAGGTAAGGAAGCACCACTGCCATCTCGACAGACTACTTGATGATCTCCGATCTCCTTTGCAACAGATGCTCTGTCCGAGCAACTCGAAAAGCGGAGCTGCGATCTATGTAGATCTCACAAATGTGGATTTGTTCGATGTGTGCTTGATCTGAACGATTGGCATGTTCAAGCAGTAGTGAGCTTGTTCGGAGTCCGTTTACAGTTGAGGCCCCTTTGTCCATGAGCAGCCCGTCTGCCTGTGTGCTGATTGCTTGCACCTTCCTTCAATGTGGTTGGGGCAATGCCAACGACGGAGCATATGTTCGAGGAAGGCTGAACCTTCCTTTCGTTGGACACACGACGTTTGGGAAGTTTCAGCCGGGGGACTTGAACGGACCATGGCTGCGTTCTACGGGTGCTGAAGGCAGTGCTCGGCCTGACTTCGCTGTGCTCGGAGTTCCGAATGACATGGGGACCCAATACAGATCCGGAGCTCGCATGGGCCCCAGGGCTATTCGGGAAGCCTCAACCTTGTACCAGTTCGGCCACGCAGAGGTCTATGATGCGGATACTGGTGAGACCTACCAGTACGGAGATGTGGTCGATATCGGTGATGTCGACATTGTCCACACGGACCAGCATCTGTCTTTGAACCGCACCCGCGATGCTGTGGAGCTTATTCTTCAGGCTGGCGTGACTCCCTTCATTCTAGGCGGTGATCACGCAACCACTGCGCCTGTCTGTTCCGCTTTATCCTCCTTATCCAAGCCAGTTTTCCTTGTGCAGATTGATGCTCATTTGGATTTTGTCGACGAACGGCATGGGGTGCGCTACGGTCACGGTAACTGCATGAGGAGGTGTTTGGAGATGCCGCACATCAATGCGATGCTGCAGCTTGGAATTCGCAGCGTGAGCTCCACTGCGAAGAGCAGCTTCGAAGATGCGCGTCGCATGGGCTCCACGATTCTCAGTGTGAGAAAGGTGCGAGAGCTAGGAGTGAAACATGTTGCAGAGTTGGTGCCTTCCGGGGCGCTTGTCTATTTCAGCGTTGACATTGACGGTTTCGATCCATCCATAGCACCGGGCACTGGCACTCCCAGCCATGGGGGTTTCAGCTACTACGAGGTCAAGGACCTTCTGAGAGAGATCATCCTCTTCCGAGCCTCCGATGTTGCTGGCCTGGACTTGGTGGAGGTTGCCCCGCCTTACGATCCAGCACAGGTGACATCTCTGCTTGCTGCGCGAGTGGTCTTCGATGCGATGGGCTTCATAAAGCTGAAGCGACAGCGATCTACCAACACGGAGCTTTAGAGAGTGTTCCAGCATGGCCAGCGGACAAAGTTCCGTCCAAGATCAAATCGACATGTCAACTGTACAAGGCAATCTTACCATGGGCCAACATGCCCGCTTCACGATTGCCGCACAGTTACTGCACTGGCACAAACTGGTCTTCAAGTTCTAAGGACACGTTCAAACCGGCAGCGGCGCTCATCATCCAGAACAAAGACGAGTTGGCCCATGCCTCATTGGTTGTTTTTCAATGGAGTCGCAAAGACATATTCTAGCCATTTGCTCAACTAGATTGGCTCGATTCCTGAATATTGATAAAGTAGCAGGCATATGCCGTGCGCTGCGCGCATGCAGTCGCAAGGCTTCGCATGGCTCGGCTTGCCTTCTGCACACACAACCCCAATCCAGTTCCGGGTACTGCTGAGGTCATACCGCTTCTTCTGGAGACTGTGCCGTCTCCGAAGGAATTCCTTGACTCGACATTCGACGAAAACATCTTAATTACTCAAACAAATACCTTGTGAGAACGCGAGCGAGCTCATGCACTCTGGGATTTGCATTGGAGTGTCCATGATTGCCCTTGTTTTCGTGGCGACAAAGGATCCAGTCCCTGTCGCCAGAACAACAGCGCTTTGCAAAAGCCTTCCGGAAGATGCAGCTCTCGAGTTCGCTCTTCGCTGTGGCCATTGTTCAGATCAAGCCGGCCTTGGAACCTCGGAGATGGCTTTCAGAACTCTGTGATGGTTAGGCCGTTAGGCGCGAGACCTGTTGATGAGCAACCGAGGAGAAGGTCATGAGCCTAGCCTGAAGCTTTTCAGACGATCTAGGTTGCGCAGCATCTGCTACTGTGATTACATGCTGTCGCATGTGGCGGTCCATCAGTTCAGGTGCTCAATCTACCAGAGCACTCGCTCACAAAGGAGCCCATGCTCGTGTTGGCTTAAAGGATTCATGAGTGAAGCACTGGTGACAAAGTGACATCACAGTGGCAACATTGAACATACAAAAGGAGATACAGCTCACTCAAGATCTCATTGAGCTCTTCGTGCGCTATCAGGTCAGCGCTTCAATCTGTCATGTCACAGGCCAAGGCAGTTGACGGCTTTATCTCAAGATGAACTTACACACCGACAGGTGGCTCCAGATCTGATGTCCTACGAGCCTTGGTCCTCCGGGGTGGCGGAAAAGGCCGCGCGAGTCACTGCAGCAGACAAGCTTGCAGCGGTCTGTAGCCAAGCTCGTCCCATGCCAGTATGTTGCACTTGGGCAGGGTGAGTGACTTAATAAGGTCAAAAGTCACGTCAAGTCCCTTTGGGAGACCATTGCTGCATCAAAGCAGAAGCAGCTGCAAGAGAAGCAGGACATCCGTTGCTGATCGATATTTTGTGCACAGTGGTTGGTTTGAGCACATTCTGCCTGTACAAGCCAGCACTTGCAGCTCAGGAGGAGGTGAAGTTACGAAACATGCAGTCTTGCGGCGCGGAAGATTGCAGTGCCAGGTTCAATGTAGGCTCGCAGAGTGCAGGGATAGCACGGGTATGCGGTATACGGTATACGGGCTAGATTCATCGTCACTTTCCGAATAATTACGACGGTGTCGAAGCAGCCGGTCACTTGGATCACATGCACTTCATGCTGCTTCCCAGCCTCGGCCTTGTTGAGTGCAGATGAGCTTGGTGTTCCGTCAACGAATTACAAGGACTATCAGGAGCTCCATGTTGCTGTTCACTTGACGCGTATTGCAAAGATCGAGTGATGTGAGTCTTATTTGTCTCCATTCTAAGATCCGAGCTTGATCCCACCATGCAGGAGTTGGGAGGTCACGACCCGCCCAAGACAGCTCAGGAGTGACATGCATTGCGGTTCCGTGATGGGTTCTGGGGCGATGTGAGGCTTAACTAGGTTGCCAAGGCTTGAACGACTGGTGGCTACGGGTGCACTGGATGTGGAGGGCTTGCCGCTGGGAGCGTGGCAATGCTTCTGTAGCATTGCGCCAGACGCTGACGCCGAGCGGCTCGAGCGGCCGGATGGCAAAGAAGGCGGCGCTCACTAAGACTGTTGCTGTTTGTGAAGTGCGCACTTTGTAAGTCCACATAGGTCTCAGCCAGACAGGGCAAGTCCACTGACGTTCACCGTAGGGAAATCATTGCGACGCAGGTTTAGTCTGGCAGAATGTGCGACTGCCCAGGCCAAGATTCAGGAGCAGGTCTTCTACATGTCTCGGTCGGGCACGCTGGAGGCACGAGCAGCGATTTCGCTGTCTGATTCTTCTTGCTCCCTTCGAGCCTTTTTTGTCTTGAGCGGAACGTGACCTGCTCGTGAGGCACAGTCTCCCAAGGTGCACAGTGCTAGGACAGAAACTCAGAACACGTTTGCCGGCAGCACCGGCGTCATCTACTGAAGATGCACAGAGTATCAGCTTGGTCCGCTGGGTGAACCCCTACTTTCTGAAGGATGAAAGCTGCAGATGCACCGTCTTCGGAGCAGCCTCCAGTGCAGGAGACTTTAAGAAAGTGGTTCATTCGAGAAGGGCCGTGGCATTCGACAGAAATTCAGAAAGCACCGTCCTCCCGAAGCGGACGAAGCCGAACATCGCTTCAGGACGCCCCTTCGCCTTCACCTCCGCCACAAGCCCGAGAAGCTGCAGAGGTGCTACCCGGTAGCAGGGTCTTAGGTGAGCTCGAGGTAACAGAAACCGAGCATTATTGTCATTGGTCAGTGTTCTTCTGTGAGGTTAAGTCTACCTTGTCTTCCATTATTGACATAAATATTTGTTGCTAGTGCTTTTGTTGCGACTATGCTTGCTATTCGCCTCTGTATTGCAATCAACATTGTTGCTATCATTACTATTCTTACGTGGCATCTGCTGCAGGCTGCAGATTCGGGAGCTTTCGACTACACGCAGCTGCCGCACCGGTTGGACGCAAATTATCTGAAGTTCGATTCCGACGCCGTGCAGCTTGCCTCGACTCGTTGTGGTGTTCCAATATTCCGATCGCACATCTGTGACTTGTGCAGTTGACACTTGTCCTGAGATTGCGTCCGACGAAGATCGATCTGGCGGCTGTCTGGACGAAGCAGGAGGGAGAAGGGAGACATTGCATGTGCTTGCAGCATCTACCGAACTACAGTGGCAAGCAGGAGCAGCCAGGCCTTCTCGGAGATGCACGGAGCCGCCAGCTCCATGGCTTCACTTGTATGATTGGCAGTAGTCATGTTCTTCCCGCAGCAAGCAAAGCGCCAAGCCGTGGATAGCTGCAGCAGTGGGCATCCCCCAGCTTGGTTCTGCTTCCAAGCCACCAGCTTTGAGGACAGTTCTGGACTCAGCCTCTGTCTGCCAAGCAGTGTTGTTTCCTGAGACTTCACGAAGCGGACCAGCGGGCAGAGACCAACAAGGTCGGAAGTTTGAAAGACATGCTGTGCAGAGTTTCAGGACCTGCGCCGATCTCTGATTGGTTTGCTTCTTATGCAGCAACTAACCCCCTTAACCCAAAGCTCGAAAGCGGGGGAGGCCTTTGATCTTCTCGATGCACTCAGCCGCTCTGGCGCCGAGGCAAACCGCAGCGATCGGTTGAGATTTGAGTATGTTTCGTCGCTTGATCTTGCGAATTTTGTGGCAAACTCGAAGCGGATGTAACGGCATGTAACGGCAAACGTTTCTCCACTTGGCGTCGACTTGGTATTCTGCAATCGCATGATGCACGAATCGCCTGGATAATAATATTTCCAAGCGGAATCGCACAGTAGGTGAAAGGCCAAACCTAGCAGTTATGGTAGCGGCAGGGTCCTCAGTCGAATTCAGAGTCAAGCTAGGTCCTGTTTTTACATAGCTGCGCTTGTGAAGTGAAGGCCTTGGAGTCTTCCTTGCACATCATGGTTGCCGCCGCCTGCCGCACTTCAAACGGGGTTCTCAGAGTCCTCTGTCTCGGAAGCGCTGAAGTTTCGCACCAGGTCTGTTGTGAACCATGTGACTGCATCAGAGTCAGAGGCTACGCACTGCTTCGATGAGACCATCCTCAACACTTTGGTGCAGCAGTCTCTTGGACACATCCGAATCCTGTCCTGCACCAGTTGAAGAATCATCTCCGCACCGTCTCGCCTGCAAGGAACAGAAACCCGATCGAAAAGACGGAGCGCTGCTCGGCCCAGACTAGATAGGACCGTCCTCGTCTTTAAGTCTGGCGACCTGCTGGTAGCGGTCGATGCCAGAAGCTTACACTCATTGCAGTAAGCCCCGCAAGCCTGGAGCTCGCCAAGGCTCAATGCTAATCATGGCGTCTACTCTCCACCGCACACCGCTGGACCAACTCTTAAACCCGGGAGAGGTGGATCGTGTGCGCGACTGGGACAATGATAACAGATTTGGGATATGTAAGATTATGTAAGCTTTTTACTGGTTCTTCACTGTATAAGTCGGACAGTGACGTCGGAACTGGGCATTGCGAATTGGATATATGTGCGAATCCTCGAACGGGTGCACTGCAGTCCCCCAGCAGTACGTCACCGAACCGAGTACGCTGACTGTTGCCTCTGATGCAGTTGTGCATGCCGAGGTGCTTTGATGCCCACCGTCTTTGCGGGGCTCGCTGAGTCGAAGAAGCTGGCTTAGATAGACATCCCAAGAACAAATCCAGCAGCTGGTTCTAGCCTACAAGCTGAGACACGAAAGGTTTGTTCGATGTCTTTGGGCCTTTAGCCCTGACTCCCAGTTCCGAGCGCCCAGCAGAGGGCCCTGGGCTGCTGAACGTTTCAGGGTCGCACTGTGCGTGTCACGCTGTGCAGACCTGACGTGGCCAGCCACGGGTCGCAAGACGCTGCCCGACTGTACAGAAGGGGTCAGCTCGTTTGGCGAAGTGCTTGTTGTGCAGGGACACTCGCAGCTCGTGTCTTCTATGAACTTTGACAATGTGCATCGTATGGTCGTATAGGTCTTGAAGTGAAGTTGGGGTCTCAAGTCACAATCCTTTCGCCAGTGGGCTGCACCCTTGCAACGTGCTTGCTCCTCGGCGGGTGCTCGAAAAAGGAGGCGTTTTTTTTTTGCATTTTTTTTTTGGCTTGTGTGCGCGCTTGGCCTCTTGGCTTCTGGCTTCTTGGCTTTTTCACCTCGCAACTTCTTATACTGTCTAGCTTCGAGCATACTGCCTCCTTATGTCGTACGGGTTTTTGTGCTCTTCTTCTGGTGCCTCAAATGCAGCGGCTCGGAGGTGTTGGGCCATTTGGGGTCTGGAATTTCCGGTTTTGGGCTTGAGGTCTGCGCATTTACGGTCCGGGGGTGTGGGGGTCTAGGGTTTAGGGGTTTGGAGTTATGGTTTCGGGTATGGGCTTGGGTGAAATAGAGTTTTACAGAACCTGAATGGCTTTGGGAGGGTTTTCTTGCAGCTGGTTACCGTCCCTGTGCAAAAATCATTTGTCAGGCTTGGCTCTTGAGTTCAGCTATTTGAGTTTAGTCCGATGCCACTGAACGCTGTTGGCGTATCATCATTTATGTTTCTAACACACTTTCATTCTATTCTTCGGCATAGAGAGCCTCATAAATCAGTCCTTAAGTCACGCCCTCAACCCTAAGCCGAGCCGAGGCGAATTTAGGTCAGTAAAGCGGGATAGGGGTTAAAAAAATTAAATAAGGATCAAAAAAATTAAATAAGGATCAAAAAAATTAAATAAGGATAAAAAAAATTAAACGGGTATCCGCGAAAGGAAGGGGAAAAAGGAACGAAAGACAGAGAGAGAGAGAGAGAGAGAAGGAAAGAAAGAAAGAACGAAAGAAGAAAGGAAGGAAGAAAGAAAGCAAGGAAGAAAGAAAGAAAGAACGAAAGAAAGAACGAAATAAAGAAATAAAGAAACAACGAAAGAAAGAAAGAACAAAAGAAAGAAAGAAAGAAACAACGAAAGAAAGAAAGAAAGCCATGCAAGAAACAGAGAAATAAGTAAATAAAGAAAGCTATAAGTAAAGAAAGAAAACAAAAATAGAGAACTAAGTAAAGAAAGAAAGCTACAAGGAAAGAAAAAAGAAAACACAAGGAAAGAACCAAAGAGAGTTGACAACTTAGAGAAATACCACGGAATCCGTAGGAAAATCGTGTTTTCCCCAGGAAAAACCAAGCAAATCCTTAGGAAACGAAAGAAAATCCCTAGGAAAGCAGTGTTTCCCCTTGGAAAAATTCAAGAATTGCTGTATCTAAAAAGCAAGAAAGAAAGACAGAAAGAAAGAAAAAACGAGAGAGAGAACGAAAGAACGAAAGCAAAAACAAGAGGAAGAACGAAAGCAAGAACTAAAGAAAGAAACTTAAGGAAATACCACGGAATCCGTAGGAAAATCGTGTTTTCCCGAACCAAAAACCAAGCAAATCCTCAGGAAATGAAAACGAATCCGTATGAAAACAGTGTTTCCCCTGGGAAAAATTCAAAAATTGCTGTATCTAAAGAGGACGAAAAAAGGAAAACAGAAAGAAAGAAAGATAGAACGAGAGAGAGAACGAAAGAACGAAAGCAAAAACGAAAGAAAGAACGAAAGCAAGAACGAAAGAAAGAACGAACCAACGAAAGAACGAAATAAATCAAACCAGAAAGGAAAGCAAGAAAGAAAGGAAGGGAGTATGAGATGAACAAAGAAAGAACAACAGAAAGAAAGAAACGAAATGAACGAGCGAAAGAAAGAAAGAAGTCCAGAATAAAAAAGCAAAGTTGGAACATACGAAAGAGAAAGAATATGAAAAAATCACAGAAACAAAGATACAAGCAACAGGATACTACATAGCCCAATCGAATTTACCATAATATCGTAATGTACCGTAACATAATATAACATAATGTAAATGTAACCTATAAAATATACTACATATTATGTTGTAAATATACACACTGTACTGTACTATGTTACAATGTACTACACTATAAACTAAGATGTTGTTTTGTTCTATGTCATCTTCTGTTATATTGTATTGTTGTATTTTTAGTATGCTATTATATGCTATAAGAAGCAAGGTTCTGTTATGTCAGAAAATGTCACACCATTTTTGTGTTGTCGAACCATCTTATGTCGTTCTTCTGGTTTACTATGTTATATATATTAGGTTAGAATGCTAACGGAAGAAGAGACACGAACAGGCACGGAAGAACAAAACACCCGCCGCCGCGCTTTTCGAGACGTGCAAGCTTGATTCAAAGAGTGTTTTCGAAGCCCATCATGTGAACGTTGTCTCTGCAAATGGGGGGGGCTGCGCCCCCCCCAACCCCCCCGCTGTTTTAAGCCGTGCAGGGTTGCTTTGATTCATATGCCTTTTTTTGAAACCCAGCAAATGAGGGCATTAGGGGTACCTTATTTTGGGCGCCTCGCAATAAGGATCCTACTATTTTATGGGTACTATGAGGGTCCCCTATTTTCGACAACTATTACTATTACTTTTACTCTTCCTATTGCGATTGCTATTGCTATATTACTATTGCTATCGCTTTTGCTATTGCTATTGCTATTACTATTACTATTGCTCTTGCTGTTGCTATTGCTGTTGCTGTTGTTATTGCTGATTGCTACTACTTTTACTCTCACTGCTACTATTACTCTTACTCTTACTATTGCTGTTGCTGTTGCTATTGCCATTACTACGACTACTACTATTACTACTACTACTACTACTACTACTACTACTACTACTACTACTACTACTACTAGTGCTACTACTACTACTACTACTGCTACTACTAGTACTACCACTACTACTACTACTACTACTACTACTACTACTACTACTACTACTGCTACTGCTACTGCGACTGCTACTGCGACTGGTGCTACAACTACAACTAACTACTACTACTACTACTCTACTACTACTAGGGGTCTTGTTGGGTTTAGAGCTAGGCGGCATTTGAGGTTTTCGGATGTAGGACTTGTTCTGTGGGCCTAGAGTGGGCGCGGAAAATGTTTGGGTTTGGGGTTCAGGGTTTAGGGTATGGGGTGTAGGGTTTAGTGCAAAGAGTTTAGGGTTTAAATTTAGGGTTTCGGCTTAGGGTGCTGACAGGGGCCACAAGACTTATCACGACAGGGGCAGCAATAGCAACATGAGAAGCAAACGTAGGAGCAATCCCTGGTATCAGAACTGAGCACGCAGCACCATACACAGGTTCGATTTCAAAGCCCTGAGTTTAAAACCCAATCCCAACGCCCCAAACCCTCAGCTGTAAATCTGCAGGCTCAGAAAGGAACCCCCACGATCTTCGGTGCCCTGCAAGGCAATGCAACACGACCAAGCAAACCACAAAAAAGAAAAATGCAAAAAAAAATACCAAACTAATTCCGGACCCTTTTAATCTCTCGAGCTCGCTCCAAGGTCTTCCTCGGTTCTCTGTTTCCGGTTCATCCTGGTTCGGTTCAGTCCTGTGCTTTCAAGACTATATGTCGTGCGTCCTGTACCTCTACCAATGTCCGACCATTGCAGACCCTACGCGGGTGATCTCGGGTGCACACATATAGATTGTGTGTGGAGGGGGAGATGCTGGACTTGTCACACGGATGATGTGGTGCAGGAGACTACTCGACCGCCCGGAGAGCAGCACTGCGGCACCTTGGTCTGGAAGAACTGCATTTAGTCTTCGAGGACGAGGTTCAAGCATTGCTTGTGCTGTTCCGATGCTTGATCAACCATGTCTCATGTCTACAGACACCCCAGTCCCAGTGCTCCCTTCGGCTCTTTTGCATCAGGCCTCTGTCCTTCAAGTTGCGATCATGGGCTTGATCATTATCTCCACGATCCTGGCAGCCTCGGCCCCGATTTCCAAACTATCGGAAGTCAAGAGTAAGTGCAGACAAGTCCGATGACCGAAAGCAAGCATTGCAAGGTAAGTGTTTCAAAGAAGTCTTACCCTGTCTCTTTGTGTTTTGAGCTGCAGTTTTTGGAAGCGGCGCCTGGGGTCTCGCAACCACGACGTGATGACACAGGGTTCGCTCATGCCGATTGGGTCCCGCAAGCCTCGAGCACAGCAGAAAGATGGCCCTGTCCCCGTTCTGTTCCATTCTTGTCCATGCGATACAACGAGACAGCGGAAGGTTGTCTCTGCTAGTACATTGTAGACCGCAGCGTCCCTCGTCGACACACATGTGCTCAGCGTTCCTGAAATGCTGCATTTCATTTGCTTGTATAAGCGAAGGTCTTCGAGACAGTGCCGAGCCTCTACAAGGCCCGGCTTCCAAGAATCCTACGCTGGGGCTCCAAATTTAGGGATCCACAGGATAAGGCGCCTATGATTTGGGTCTATGTGTTTAAAATCACTCGTCTGGCCGGCACTTGGTCCTGCTCCCAAATCTCCAGACAGGCCTTTCTAAAAGTTCGAACCTATGTGATGGCAGTCGAACCTTGCTTTGGGAGTGACATCATGGATCAGGAGCACATCGACATGTTCAAGCTGTCGGAGAAGGTGCGACGGGCGAGATTTGCCCCATGGTTTTCAGTGTTGTCCCCGTGAAGCAAACGAGCCTGACTACCCGGAGAGTGACTTTGGCTCCACTGCTACAGAGTCCGCCCATACCAACCGAAGGTCTTTACTGCAATTTTCACTGCTGAAGTTCTTCTCCGAGTCTGGGGCCTCAGTGAAGTGTTGCCGGCGTCACCCTCCTCCCCATCCGCCATGTCGACTGCTGCGAAGACGAACCAGTCCTCGTCTTCGTTGTCGTGCTTGTCGTAGCAGTAGTCGTCGCAGCAAAAGCACGAGTACGGGTAGTACTCGTAATAGCAACATCAGTACTCGTAGCAGTTAAAGAGGATAGAACAGTATCAGCGGTATGCGCGGATGGCGGTGGCATGAATGCGTGCTGGTGCCAGGAAGGAGAAAGGACAGTGTGCTGATAGTGGCATGCTTGCCAATAGTAGTGCGCTTAATGGCGATACCAACAGTCATAGTGCCGGTCACGATAAGTAGCAGTACAAACAGCAATGGTCAAGAGACTAGGTATACTACCGTTACAGTAGACAAGTCGAGTAAGAACCGGGATGTTTCTCAGAGCATGGTCCATGGTTGCGAGTATGATATTCGTCCCGTATGGCATCCTGACCTGTTTGGTTGAGCAGAGATCACTTGCGGCAAGCTATGCTGTTGAAGCATCGCTCGCAAGAGGCCTTCCCTCAGTGCGTTCTTCTGCGAAGTGTGCATGAATCCTCCTGCACCTCAAATCGTGACTGCATCCCCAGGCAGCATCAACCGAAAGCTGCAGGAGCAGCCTTGTTGACAACTAACTGACTTTGGACCAAGGATAGGATTGTAGCATGTAGGCGTGATGCTCATAGCTGTGCTGTGCAAGCTCGCCCGTGTAGAAGAAGGGCAATTCTCGGTTCGTGTCGACTCGAATGATGGGTCGAGATCTCGCAGGAACTACATCTGCGCAGTATCGAACCAGATTGATATCTTGGCGACATCGTCGGACGCCAAGATGCCTGTATGTTTCTGCCTTACTCACGACGATCTCGATGGCGACGTCAGCCTGTCCAACTATTCATTTTTTTACGCTCGTGGTCCCAGGCCATGGTATCTGGAGAAGATTCTCGTTGCCACAATGCCCACAGGCCAGCCACTCTGAAGTAAGTCATCGCCTGCAAGGAAGAATCTAGAGCCACGGAAAAGCACGGCAAGCATCAAGGGCGTGAGAAGGGCTGCAGGCTCTGACGCCCTGTTCGCAAGCTTGACTGTGGAGCCGTTGTAGGTGCTATTTCTGCTTTGAGTTCAATCACAAGTTTGCCAAGGATGGAATCGCCATTTCTGCTCTCAACACCTTAAACGAGAAAACTCTAAGCACTGGTCGTCGGCCTCGGCCAACTCCTGTCCGAGGCCATCACAACGAGCATCTCAACAACATCGCTGGTTCCTTGCGGACGCTTCGGATGGTCCGCTTGGCGCGGATGGCCCTGGCCTTGGAGCTTCGGCCTGGACTCCCCATCGTGGGGTGAGGTAATAATACGTAAATATGTATGTGTATATATATATATATAATTAATTATATATTATGTGACTACATATAATGTATGTATATACTTATATACATACATATATATATATATACATGCAGAAAGGTGTGTGTGTATGTACTTAAATATGTGTAATATATCAAAATGCCATATCATATAACAGAACAAAAATAATCCGACACAGTACGATGTAAATCAATATCCCAGGATATACGAGAATATGTTAGAGTATACGACAATCCACTATAGTACAATATGAGATCCTACACGGTACTATAATACAACATAACGGAATAGAACACAGCATCTTATAGCATAACGTAACATGATATTGCATAATATACCATAGTATATAACATATTAAAACATGATACAACACAGTAGGAAAAAGGAATATACAACTTGTCGCTTAATATATGATAGCATAGCAAAGTATAATGCAGTCCAATGTAATGTGATTCTAATATAAGTGGAGGCTCATTGGGGCGTCAGTGCTCATGAATGATGGCACAAGCTGTACTATCTTGCAACGCGGGGAGCTGCAATGGAATCATGGTCCAATCTTATAGGGCTCTCAGCAAAATCTAGAGGAAAGGCTGCCCCAGCTTGACCCCACTCGTCATTCATCTTTTGCAAATCTTGGCGAAACTGCTGCAGTTTCCCGTCCGACCCAGGTCAGACTTGTGCGAGTTTTGCGCATTGCGAAATTCGCCCGCCACTCCGAGGCCCCGGGCTGCAATCATGTTTCCACTCTGCAGGCTGTCATTCTGACATCGTACATCGGTCATGAACTCCTTTCATAAGCCGAAGAACATGGCAGGTGCTCAGTGTGGTTGTCGAGAGTCTTGTTGAGTCCATCAGCGGCATTTGGGTCCTCGTGGCTTTTGCCATGGACTTGGACTCCGAAGCGTCGGTCGTAGACTGACATGTCCGTCGGTCAGAAACATCAGATCCTCATCAGAGGACGCGGGCTGCCCACAAGCGGGTTGCACTACGTGCTACTCCCACTCGTACTGCCTACTCAAACACCTCCTTCTCCTGCTCCTCCTACTCCCACTCTTACTACTTTTTCCTGCCCCTACAACAACTATTAGTGCTACTGCTGCAACTACTAACAACACCACTACTACTACTACTACCACCACTACTTCTACTACTTCTCCCACTACTCCTGCTACTATTACTACTACTACTACTACTACTACTACTACTACTACTACTACTACTACTACGACTACTACTACTACGACGACGACGACTACTACTTCTCCTATTACTACTACTACCACCACTACTACTACTTCTCCTACTACTACTTCTTCTACTACTACTTCTCCTATTGCTACTACTACTACTACTTCTTCTTCTACTACGCCTACGATTACTACTACTACTGCTACTACTACTACTACTACTACTACTACTACTACTACTACTACTACTACTACTGACTACTACTGCTACTTCTACCACTACCCTGTGATGAAGAGGTTTGTTCTGTCGGAGTTCCCAAGGTCAGCATGTGGGCCTTGATCAGTGCCACCGTGGTGTATGCTGTTGAGTTCCGATCCCAGCATCTGCACTCATACATTTTCGATTGCAGACGATTTCCAGCATGGGTTCGTAAGGTCAGAGCAGCCGGATACCGACTTTGACTCAATCCCCGTGGTGCTCTCAGCTCGCTGTGATCGTGTGCACAAGCCTCATCCATGCTCTCAAGATATGTACAGCCTGTGGATAAAGGCAGCTATGTGGTGGTCCATGGCGACCATTTCCACCGTTGGCTACGGGGACATGGCGCATGGATTCAATTGGGAGTGCTGTCAGAGCATCATGTGATCCGGTGAAGTAATCGAGGTTCCCGAAACCGCAGCCGGAAAGGTCGTGGGCGGAGACCGGTGCTCAGGAAACTTCCGCGTTCCTGGCAAACTGACGACCAGCTAGATTTGGCTGGACATGCGATGCTGCCCTCCTTGTGTTGCTTTTCTATTTCTGACCTGGTTGGCCGCTTGATAAGGCGTCCATGCTGGGCGGAATACTGATCACCTCGATTGCAGTTGCGGTGATCACCACCACCTTCACGGAGCACTACCAGGATAAGTGCCGCATGCGTGAGGCAAGGGAGCCGGGAGTTTGTATTTCTGGAGCCTTGTGTGAGTCACAGTGTCATCTGATGCTTGGATTTGAACGGCATTGTGGGGCCTTGTCCATGCTGAGGCAATGAAGCTCGACAGGATTCAAGGACGAGAGGACGAAGAAGGCCCAGGCAGGGATCGGAGATGCACCTCTGAAGCGGACAAGGGAGAGTCTCCATGCACCTCTGCCCGCCTTGCGGAGGCCCCAACGGCACTCCGCCTCCGCAGTCTTCCAGAAGGTGCGGCAGTGTATTGTGGTTCCTGGAGGCTCCTGTCTTGCAAATTGGGTCGCTCCTGGATCCCGTGAACTTGGAGCAGCCATCACTAGGACCAGAACCGTAATACCGGAACGCTGCGCAACTACAATGACAATCTCCATGCAGGGACGCCGACAATCCTATCGTTGCCTGGGATCTGATGGAGAAGGTCGGAAGCCCATTACGAGAGGGGAAACGGCACCATCTTTCGAGTGATTTGGTTCCTTGCACCCACCGCAGGACGTCCTGAAGCACATCATTCGCTTAGAAGCGGAGCTTCTGGACAGACCACTCCGCGAAAGGCCACTCCTAAAGCTTCAGTTCCCAGTGTCTCGTTTCGGTATTGTATGTATCATTATGTATGTATAAAACGGTACTGATGCCCTTCAAGTTGTTCGAATAAAGGCGGCCTCCGTATCCTTTGGGTAAGCATTGTCCGCATGTTGAGATCCGATCATGTGCTTGTCAGGAACACCAGCAACACCATGGCCATACAGATGCTAGAGGACATCCGATGGGCAAGCTGCACCCACTTGCGACTCTTGATTGCTTTCTGAAGAGTCCAGGAGCAAGCGAAGAACTTCTTCAAGCAAGGAAAAAGCTTAACGCAGTGCTGCCGGCGCTCATCGGGGGACAGCACAACATTTGGATTTTCCAACAACCCACGTTCCACAATGCATGTTGAACCTACACAGCTGTCGTCAAGAAGCTGTTTGTTTGCTTGCCAAAAGCAGGGTTTGCGGTTCTGTGTTGGCCAGACTTGGCCCATGATTTCACGTGCCAGGCAAGTCATGATGGAAAAGGTGAGTCGCATCACTGAAGGGGAGCTTGCTGAGGAGCCTCCTGGAGAAAGAGGCGAAAGCAAAGCCAGCATAATCTCCAGTGTGTGAGGTTGCATGTGCCGAAATGGCCGAAATGACTCACACCTTTTAAGCCGCCACACGGCGCCATCGTTGGCATTCTTGTGGGCCTGTTGGCTGCTGTGTCAAGACGAAACTCTTCCTTTTCCTCCAGTGGCGCAGTGTGGCAGCGTTTGTTTTTTTTCGTTGGGATCGTGTACAGTCTGACCAGATCCACGAGAGCCTGGCAGGATGTGTACTCCGTTCGTGTCCAAGTACGCATAGAGATAAGGAGCTCTCTCCCTCCTTCTTTCTCTTTCTCTACCTCTCTCTCTCTCTTTCTGCCCACTCCCTCGCCCTCTGGCTCTGGCTCTGGCTCTGGCTCTGGCTCTGGCTCTGGCTCTGGCTCTCTCTCTCTCTCTCTCTCTCTCTCTCTCTCTCTCTCTCTCTCTCTCTCTCTCTCTCTCTCTCTCTCTCGCTCTCTCTCTCTCTCTCTCTCCCTCTCTCTGTCTCTGTCTCTGTCTCTCTGTATTATACATGCACACATGCATAGGAACATGTATGTGTGTGCCTTGGTATATACATATTTATACACACACACACATATTGATCTCCCTATCAATCTGTTTCTCTATCTACCCCCGCTGGTCGACACTTTAGTATACCAGTCAAAGCCCGACTTGAGCGCACATTTGCCCATTCGGCTCTATCGCGTCGACTTAGCAGTCCGCTCGCTGAAGTTGGCGCGGTCCCTTAGGCTCCATCACTCTGCCGCCCTTCAGTATCAGAAACTTGCGGCACACAGACATTGTTGATGATTTTCGTATTGCAAAGGAATTAGACATCGAAGGTTGATTCTGTAAATACCTTACATATATACGTATACATACATGCATGGGAGAAGTTCGTATCTCTAAACAACAAAACGATATGTATGCATGTATGCCTGTAAGTACACGTGCCTGCATATTGTGCAAGAACGAGCGCATGTTTGCATGTAATGTAATGCACTGCAACGTAACCAATGTATTTTACTGCAACTTACTGTAATGTAAGTCAGAGCAAGGCAAGGCAGGCATGCATGCGTGCATGAGTGGATGGATGAAAGCATGTTTGTGTTTGTCTGTCTGTTTGTCTGTCTGTCTGTCTGTCTGTATGTACGAAGGTATGTCGGTATATAGGTATGTAGGTATGTGTGTATGAACGCCTGTAGTGTACTCAAGTGGATATTTGCCTTAAAGTCCAGTCACACCACGAACCAACTTCTGCGAGACGTTAATTCTCTCAACTGCTCGCGCCTGGGACATGCAAGACCGTGCAAGACAGTGAAGAGTCATCGGCTGTGCAGTTCTTGTTGGCACTGTACCCTCTTTCGATTCGGGCAGTCTTGCTTCATGGATCGCTTGAGACACCGCATCTGCAGTCTGTCACAATCTGCTGAAGTGGAAAAGACAGCCTTTGCCCAACGGTCTCTGCACGTCCGTCGCAAGTCCCAGGCATGTATGCTGTCGTAGACGAAGCGCTACGTTTACTGTGCATGGATCCCATTCCCCTTGCGTTGGGAGTCCCTGCGCCGACATTTGCCACATCCCGTCACAGCATGCCGCAGTCATGAAGTTTCACTTGCTTATCCGGCTTGCATGTCGAGATCTGGACAATTGTCGGGGTGCTTCCCAGGGTCAAACCCAGAAGCGGCAAATCTTGGGGTGCCATCGTTGTTGTTTTAGATGTGCAAGTGGAAGAACTTTAGTGTCGCGCATACTCTCATCTAATACCATTTTGCCTCAAGTTGCCTCGATTCGCGCAGAAACACCTCAAGAACAGCTCTTGGATGTGCATGAAAGCAGCGAAAGTGCGAAAGCAGCAGCACTGGCAGCTGTTTTGAATTTTGAAGCTTCCGTCGTCCAGCAGTGTCGCAGTGGAATGCTGCTCTTATTATGCTCTCCAATTATGCACGTGGTGTTGGGCTCAAAACAGCCACCAACCCTCGCCATCCTCCCCGAGGTTGTGGTCCGATCCTGTAGCGAACCTCCTCGAAGCGCCAGCCTTTGACAGATTGAGAGGAGAGGTAGGGCGGGCATCAAGACTCAAAAGGCTGTCGTACGCCCTCGTCATAATGCATTCCGTGCCGTGAGTGGCGGAAACTGGAATACAAGGGCACAGTGCAAAGAGTTGCTTGGACGCCGCTGGGAGGGAACAGAGAGGAGAAGCAGCATGGCATGCTGCGCACGACCGTAGAGCATGGTGATCTAAGTTTATACCCGATGCTACATATATATATATATATGTATATGTATATATGTATCTATATATGTATGATGGTATAATAATAAACCTACACGTACACATACATATACACACATATATATGTATATATCTATATATCTATGTATAGATGTACATGTACACATACATATACATATAGACAGATGTATCATCTTGCATTGCCTGATCTTTTCTGCTAAGGCCATGCCCATGGCCCGTCTCATGGCATGGTCCATCTTCCTCTTGAGCACTGCCGATGCCATGCTGGGCAGGGTGAGCTCTGCGCTCGTGAAGGGTTTAGGACTCTCAGATGGCCACTTTGACACGGCCGAATGCCAGGAGACCTCCCAGCCGGTGGTGCAGATGCTGCGGAACTTGGATCGTAACAGCGACGGCATGGTCGACCAGCAGGAAGTGCTTCCTGTCGTGTGGGACCGGTACTGTAGGAGATGAAGGAGGTGTTTACGGTTGGGAGGATGTTTTGGGGAGGTGAGGCTTTTCTTTCAAAGGGAAAACTGACACCCCAGGACCGGCTTGCAGGTTCCGGGGGGGTCAGTTGTCAGGAGCTGGAAACCTTCTCCGCGACGCACGGTTTGGACCGCGTGAGTCCGCAGGACCGAGACAGAGTCTGAAGTCTTTGCTGCTTCCACCAACTACGCACCTTGTGGCCCTGTGAACCGGAGCAGACGAAATCCAAGAGGGTCATGCCCGACTCCTGGTTATCTCTGGAAGGTGTCGAGGGCGGTCATGTCTGGCGTTGATCCTGCAGCCCAGAGTCGAGACATGCCTAGAACAATCTCTAGTGGGAGTGCTAGAGTGCTCTATCCGTGGACTCTCTGTCTCATAAACCCCTAGACACTTAACATTTTAAACCCCTCCAGCAGGAATTTGCGAAGCTGGACTTGGACGGCGACGGCACGCTCAGCAGCCACGAATTGAGTCGCACTGTCGTGGAGTGCCTTGGAGTCATAGCCGTTAGAGTCAGCCGAAGCATGACCATGGCGGTAATGTAGGGAGAGGACGAGTTGCCACGCAAAAGAGGTCATCATCGTCACGCATGGTTTGTAAAGGGAGGGAGCCATCGGATTAGGATCACTAAGAAGCCCCAAGAAAAACGCGTCAGGGAGAATGCGGTTAAAATTGCCAGAATGCATTAACACCAGCAGCGAAATCAGTCCGCACAGCCACGGCCTGCAACTCCGACATGCGCGACTTGTGAAAGATACGGTGCAAGGAAGCGCAGGGAGGCCAACGGTTCAATAGAAGCACCCCGTGCGAGCACCAGAGAGAGCGAGCAACATGTGAGCTTTTAATGTGTGTTCCGAAGGGCACGGGGCTCGAGACCGAGCTAGCAGCTGCGGCAGAAAAGAAAGGGCGTTGCGAGCCTTTTTTTTGTGCAGTGGCATCTGCGAGCCACTTTCATGGCAGCGGAGCTCACCTGGTGAATCCGGGGAGCTGCCGACCACTCCGCTCTGCGCTGCGTGCCCGAAATTCTTCGAGGCAGAGGTGCCTGATTGGTGGCTTCTGGCCTTGCTCTTTTACAAGCTTCGGCATTATCTCAAGGAGATCCGGCGGCCAGTCGCACGAGACCTTCTACACGATTCTCCGGAAGGTCTTCAGAAAGGCGACTGATGTCACATGCCGGGAAGGACAGCGAAGTGCCCTCGTGGAACGGGGACCCAGGAACGTTTGAAAGGTTTGCCACTGAATGCCGGTGGTACCAGCACTCTCTGAAGCCAACTGAGAAACCACTTGCGGCGCCACGCGTGTGGCACCGTTTGGTGGGCTCTGCAAAATCAGTGGTGCGCAACTTGGATCCGGCCGTCTACAGCACGTCAAATGGACTGGACAAGTTGCTGGACGTGTTGAGACGCAGCCCCCTCCAGAGGCTGCCTGTGCCGGACACGTTCCAACGTCTGGAACGGTGGTCAGGGCTACACAAGAGGCAGGGTGAGACGATTCCTCAGTTGCTTGTGCGAGAAGAGGAGCTGTTCGTGGAACTGCAGCAGAGTCTCATTAGAGCCCGCGGCCTCAATGGCAAGGACACCAAGATCATCATTGCGGAGGATGCGGCCCCTGCCAGCTACGAGAGCGACCGCGAGGCTCCGGACGAGGACACAAAGGAGGAGGAGAAAGAAGCCAGCTCACCGTCGCCCAAGGGTGCTCGGCCCGCTTCCGAGCCCTCTCCCACATCATCTACGAGGACTAAGACAACGAAGGCGACGAGTTCATCCCTTGGCTTCTTCGAGGACGAGCTTCGGGGCTATCGATTGCTGAAGGCATGCGGTCTTCAGCCTTCAGAAAGACAGCAAGTGCTTACCCTAACGGGCAACAGCACTACCTTCCAGTCGATCAGGCAGGCGCTTCGGGCCATGTACGACGAGGGGGTCACGACAGACCTCGGGTCCCGAAGACATCGCCCTTCCGCCTGGTGGTTGCATGGCGAAGAGGACAGCTACTACACTGGCGGTTCCTGGGACGACTGGGCTTGGGATGCTCCACAAGCCTCCGAGGATGCCTTCTGGTACGAGGACCCGTCTGGCTGGCCGGACGACCAACTGCCCGACGATTGGGCATACTATGCTCCAGCCGATGCAAACGGCCCGAAGAAGAGAAAGCCTTGCTGGAGGACGAAGCCGAGGCCTTTGCCATTGCGGACGAAGCACAGAAGACCCTGGCCCAAGCCAGAGAAGCTGTGGCAAAGGCCCGCCAGGCTCGAGGCTACTATCCTCTGGGAGGCAAAGGATCTTCGGGAAGTGCTCCTCCGCGAGCGTTCGGGGCCAGAC